AAAAGCAAATGTTGTATTCACGTGGCTAATGTATTAGCAATCAACTATATCATGTTAACAAGTATTACAGGTTGCTCTTGTTACTCATGATCTTTAATGACAAAGAGGAAACTTGTCCATAGAAAATAGTTTCGCTACATTCATAACAAGTACAAGATTTTAAAACGCTTATAAAGAGTTGCTTTTAATAAAAAAAAATAGGGATGCACGATATATCGGCCACCATATCGGTATCGGCCCATATCGGCTCATTTTTTCTGTTATCGGTATCGGCCTGATAAGAAAATTTGGCCGATATCTTAAAGCCGATAAATAATGCATTATTTCCTTCAGAGACACTTCAGATGCGCGCTGTTCGTTTGCAGCCTTTTGTGCAATTGTACATTGTAATATTGTGTTTATTTGATGTATATCTGATGTATCTCATATAGAATGCGTTTGGTAAAGTTAAAAGAGCGCTTCAGTTTACCAGTGATCATCTTTAGCTCAGCACACGCAGCCCAAACAGCAGTGCACAACATTAATAACTATGATTGGGAATGTTTACACGTGTAATGATGTCCAGTGACTTGTTTGCATTATTTATGCATTATTTTATTTATTTGTAAGACTTTTTTATGACTAAATTTGGTAATGGGAGAGTAAAAATATTTTTAAAACGTACACCGTTCAAACTAGGCTGCTTATGTTGAAGTGTTTGGGATGTGGCTTTTAATGATGAGACCTTTTTTGTAATCAGGCTCTCAAAAAGTATATAACAATTTGGATATAGATTTATCGGCCAACATATCGGTTATCGGCTTTCAAAAATAAAGAATAATCGGTTATCGGTATCGGCCAAAATTTTCATATCGGTGCATCCCTAAAAAAAAAGCGTCTTATGATGGATGACACATGCTCAAATGCAGTTAGTGTTTGAGAGCAGGCGGCCCACTCAGAGTGAATAGTAATCATTATGTATGATTATTACACCAGAGGGGTCTTATGTAAGCCCTTACTGAAGACTTGTCATAATCTTTACTTAAAGCATTTGTCAAGTCCTAAATTCTTATGTAACTGTGATTTGTTCATGGGTGCCTGATGCAGTTTTCACAAATTAAATACAGCACTAATGTATGGCTATAATGATGCATCCATAATGGTGCCACAAAACTCTGAACCGTCTCTTTAATTTCCATGGCGCAGAACACTATGCACTGACCTCAAAACTGCAGTAACCCAGTTTTTAATATCTTTACAGTGAGAAAATTAAAGCCACAACTCTCTAGCTTTACTATGCTAGTTTTTATCAATATTTTGAATTAGTTTCTATTTTGATATTTTATCAATTTTCTTGCTCTTTTTAGTTAGTTTTAGTAAGTTCTTGTCATTTAAAAAAAAAAAGTCCATAGTTTTTATTTTTCTCATTTTTAGTTATTTTAGTACATCACGTTAAAGTAAATGGAAAAAGAGATGTTTGTTTGTCGATGTTCAGGCTGTTTTCCACCAATATATATTTATATCCACAAAAGTGGCCTCAATAAATATTCTGTATAGTTAGAGAGTCCCTGCAGGTTCTTAAAGTCCAATTTAATATATTATATTAAATATATTTTTAATGGTATAAGAAAACTTTCATTACAATTTCATGCGGTCTTAAATTTGTAGACAGAAAAACAGAAATCGCAATACAACCTAATGTGATTATTAAACTTGTTAAAGGCTGTGATTTAATACAATAAATATTCACATTTCAAAACACAGTGATATTACAATCATTGTTTCTTATGATGCAAGCTCTCTTTGCTCTTTCCACAGACCCAGATTGACCGTTACATTGGCATTGCACGCACTCAAGTCAACACTACAATTGCCAAGTGAGTATACTATGAGTAGAGTAATACAGTAAAAATGTATTCCATCTGTGCCTGCTATTTATCCATAAAGAACTGAGTGTTGGAAATGGCAGCCAATTAGTGAGACCTTGATGCCACATAGTAACATTGCCACCTAATGGGCATTTGTCTCATTTTTTTTCTCCTTCAGGCTACAAGAGAAACTCCCAGGAGCCATGAAGCGCTGTAAAGCAGAATGATCCTCCTCTCCGATCCCTCGTTACCATATTTACCATCCTTCTATCTTTAGCTGCCTCCCCTTATACTAAGCCCCGCCCCTTCCCCTCTCTTCCCGTTTAACCCCACACCTTAAAACAACCATGATCTGCACTGAACCAGCTAGTATGTAAAATCTAAAAAGCTTCTTGTTATTCAATGTTAACTCTGCAGCTTATTAATGAGCATTAGGAAAAGAAGCTTGGGGCTCCAGGAGCTGGTGTTTTTCAACACAGGAAGTGATGTAATGCTACTGGATGCCCATTTTGAAGGCCAGTGCACGGAAGGATTTGTGAACTAGACTGAACCTATGACTTGGTTTTGAGTGTTGGGTTGGGTGGTGCTGTAGCAATGAATAAAGACAGGTGTTTGACTCAAAATCAAATGTCTGTACTTTAAAAAAAATTACATTTCACTGAAAACTGCTGGGGAACATTTTTTTTCAAAAGAGAGAACTTTATGAAACATACTTTTCCCCCCTCTTTGTGCTTCGAAAAATGTGTACGTATTCGTCTGAAATGCACTGAACATTTCTAGACTTGCACGTTTTGATCAGTCAGAATGGATCGGGACGCTACCAGCAGTGATAATTCGGTCTAGTTCACTCTCCTTCCTGTTATTGGCGCAATTTTTAATTTTGTGTATGTATATATAGTTCGATTACAACAGGCTCTTTGCTGTGAAGTAGTTAGTGTTGCTTTTTATATTAAAAAAAAAACAATATACAGCTCTTATATTTGTCTCTTTCGCACCTCTCGCGCACTCAGTCATCTGAGTGGAGTTCACATGTAAATGTTATTGTTATTACTCTTCAAATAATAGTTATTATATTATATCTCGATTAGGATGGCTGCTTTATGTCCCCTGTCTGACATTGGCTTCGTAACAATAAATATGAATAACCTTAAGATTGAGTTTTATGTATAGGATCATCAGAGCACCAGAATATAGGAGAGAAAGGCAATAACTTTCTGCTTGATGTGATGTTGGCCCCACAAGTCATCGATTTTTGTTGAAACGGGGCCAGTGCCCATAATTCATGTCATTTAGAAAAGTAAGCCCGTTTTTTTTTTTTTTTTTTTTGGTCAGCATTTTGGGGCATCGTTTACCACCTTGGGCACTGAAGAGGTATAAATATTTAAAAAGGCTGCAAAGAACGATTATTTAAGCTGGATAATTACACTTACTAATCACATGTGGTAACACTGTTTTTTCTTGAAAGTCGAAACCCCACTGTAAACACTGTTGGCTTTTAGGATACTACAAGGGTGAGTTTATTTCTGAAAGGGAAGGGTAGCATAGTAAAAATAGCTTCAGGTTGGGCCGCTGTGTTTTAAAAGCAGCGTCAGTCCGCGCAAAAACTACTCGAATGCATTTATGCGCACAGTTACGACGTGATAAATGGATTATCCACCATATATCAAGTTACAGTCATATTGTTGCTTTTGTTACTGCATAGTCTGTCAGCTCCTGATGGTTTTATTGCATTGTTCACTTAACATTCCAGCTGATGCAGTTGGAAGCATGTCCAAATTGGAAAATTGAAGGTTTAACACTAACACGTTCCATCACATTTTAAGTTTGTTCTGTGATTATTGTCCCTTTCTAATATACTTTGATTTGCTGTACATGATTTTTTTTCTCTCTCTCTCTCTCTCTCTCACCCTTTTTGTGTCATATGCATGTTCACACACATGATCAGATTCAGATGGAAGTGTCTTGTCATTGTGTTGCTTAACTAGCATGTTCTACAGTTGAGATCACATGTGCGGTGTTGCTTTCGAAGAACAGGTCAAGCTCTGACAGTTTGCATTAACACATTGTTTTCTTTGCGTTTAAGGGTAAATTATGACTATATAACTCATTTTTTTAATAGATGCAAACCTCTCTGTTTAGGTTCTTCGTCTTATTATCCGTTTTCTTCTCTTCTGAGGTTCAGTTTAATATTTGGGTTTTGTTTTTTTGTTTTTTTACTTAATCCTAGTACCTTGGCATGTTTGCTGTTTCTTCTTTCCTGTGTTTCTCTCTGAGAAGGGTTGACGGAGATCACATTCTTTTTGCTTTGGACTCTTGAAGACTAGATGTGATGGCTAACATCTACATTCAGTTTGTTAGTTTTGAATTAAATTAATATGTGGGCGCTTTTGGATGCAAACAGGAAAACTTGTGGTCCCTGTAATGATGTCAAAGTGAACTTAATAAAAATGCCAAAAGCATTTGTAGTGCTTGGTTTTTTGTTTTTTAAATGAATAGCATAAAAGGGTACATTAACTAGATCAAAAGTGACTAAAAATACACAAAAATATTAAGCAGCTGCTTTTAACACTGACAATAATTTGATTACCAAATCAGAAGAATGATATTAGAATGATTTCTGAAGGATCATGTGATACTGAAGTGATGCTGAAAATTCAGCTTTACCATTTTATTTATAATAATTTACCAATTATTATATTTCACAATATTACTGTTTTTACTGTGTTTTTCATCAAATAAATGCAGCCCAGGTGAACATAAGAGACTTGTATCAAAAACGTTCAAATCTTATAGATCACAAAGTTTAATTTGTACAGCTACAGTTGCATACATCTGAATCTATGATTTTTACCAGAAATGTTGAATAAATTATTTAAAGAACTAGGCTTTTCATACCGACATTAATTGACATTTTATTAGTTATTGGTGTTGCAGTAAATTATACGAGAAACTCAAAAGGAATGATATTTACATCCAAACTCAAGAAGGGAGTATATACAAGTGATGAATGTAGTGTCTTATACTGTATGTGTACATAACTTGAAATGTAAATGTTGATACGTTACTCCTAAACGTTGTAACCCTGAGAGTTTGAACCCCAAATCGAAAACAAAAACAGGATGTCGAAAACTCATCCCTAACCCTTCTATTTCAATTAAGTGCTCTGGCTCGTAGTGCATTCGGTATTCATATAAGCATTGCCGTTAGCATGCTCTTTATGGCCGTGGTTCGAACCCGAAAAACAGTCGTCCGAATGAAAGTGCACTGAGATCTGGTTGTAGCAAAGCAGGACCAGCTGCCTCTCCTCTGGGTTGTAGTCCAGCGAATGAGGGTGCACTTGTAGGATGTGTCTCTTGATGGTGCTGACCTTTAGCGTTGCGAGCGTAGCACCACACACCATGCAGATCAATCCATGCTTCCTGCAGTCGTAGTCCATCAGGAAGTCCATCTTCCAGCGGGCCTGGTAATTGCGCCGCTGGTCCTTCCCCGGGTAGTGCCTGTGCCGCCCAGGCATCTGCGTTGATGGTGTGATATTTGTGCTATTATTGTCTTCTGTTTCAACTCCTTGCTCTGTGGATTTCACAGGAGACACCTGCATGCCACCAGCAGCGTTTGTAGTGACAGGGCCACTTTGTGGGTCTTCAGTGGCAAACAAAAGAAAAGAGAGAGACACATTATTGTTTTTAAACGATATATTTGATTTATAAGAGGATTTTTCTTTAACAATCCAACAGGAATACTTTCATTCAGAAATTGTAACATTTTGACATCAGAACCATAAGCAAATTTACATAGGCCTAACAATTTGGCCTACCTTGTTGTGGCTAATGCTAAGCAGAGTTGGCTCAGAGGTACAACATGAATATCTTTACATCCTTAAAACAAGATACATTTTCCTGAGAAGCTAAATAATCTTTCGTTTTCAAGCTGTTCGCTTGCTAGCTTCGTGAAAGCTAACTGCAAGCACCAGGAAGGAGAAGTGTAATTAACTATTTTTAGCTTTTGAAATATAATGTTATGTAATTTAAAAACATTAACAAGCTTATTTTCATGATTAAGTACAACTCGAATGTATAGCCTACTTTGCAAAATGTATTTACCTGAGAAGCTAAATAGCTGTTAGCTTGCCAAGCAAAGGCTAACTGAAAACACTAGGAAAAATAAATATTTGACCATTTTAGCTTCCAAAAGATTATGCTATATGTAATATGTAATTTAAAGGATATTAATTAACATATTTTCATGATTAAGTATATCTTCAATATATTTACATCCTTAAAACAAGATAGATTTACCTGAGAAGCTAATTCATCTTTCGTTTTCAAGCTTTTAGCTTGCTAAGCAGAGGCTAACTGAAAACACTAGTAAAGAGAACATTTTTAATTTGACTATTTTTAGCTTATGAAATATAATGTGATATGTAATAATTTTAGAGGACATTAATGAACATATTTTCAAGATCAAGTACATCTTGTATACCTTTACATCCTTAAAACAAGAAAAATTTACCTGAGAAGCTAAATAATCTTTCATTTACCCTGTTGAAAAAACCAGCATATGCTGGTTAGGTATGTTTTGAGGCTGGGATGCTGGTTTAAGCTGGTCCTTTGATGGTTTATGCTGGTCCTTTGCTGGTTTAAGCTGGTTCTTTGCTGGTTTAAGCTGGTCCTTTGCTGGTTTAAGCTGGTCCTTTGCTGGTTTATGCTGGTCATGTGCTGGCAAAGGACCAGCAAAAGGACCAGCTTAAACCAGCAAAGGACCAGCTTAAACCAGCAAAGGACCAGCAGAAGGACCAGCTTAAACCAGCAAATGACCAGCTTAAACCAGCAAAGGACCAGCATAAACCAGCAAAGGACCAGCTTAAACCAGCATCCCAGCGTCAAAACATACCTAACCAGCATATGCTGGTTTTTTCAACAGGGTTTAGATTATCAATTTTGCTTCTTGGGTTTAATTGATCTGGTTTTAAAGATTTTTTATGGGAAACGAAGTTGGAACTTTGGTTCGAACTTCTGGTGTTTTTTTTTTTCTTTTTTCATATGATGATTTTCTTTTAATACAAAATTATGGCATTTACAGTGATGATAGTCTGAATCTCTCTATATCTGATGTTGTGGGTCTAGTTGTCTGTACTTACCATCCTCTTTCGGTGTAGCCTTGTCGATTTTCTCCTCTTTTATCCAGGCGCTGACCACGGCATCTCTCTCACTTCGGCTGAGGCTACTCATCTCCGGATGGCACTCCTGGATGTGCTTGCGGAAGTTGCTGACCCTCGGCACAGGCAGGTGTTCAGAACACACCATACAGTAGCAGAGCGGGTTTTCCGGAGGACCGTACGCCACTAAATAATCCAGGCGGAGACGCCAGGGGCTGCCGTATTTTAGTCTTCTCTTTCTGGGATAGTAAGGTAAGGACTGGGATCTCTGGCCAGTGTCTGGTGGATTCTCATCTCCTCTTGTGTAGTTCATCAAGTTTTCTTGAATGGGATCCACATTCAGAGGAATAAATGAGGCTGAACCATGTATGTTTATTTCGGGACATAACGGCTGGCTGTTTTCTCGATTCAGATGACTCTCCCATCCCGACCGGATCACATCTTTATCGGACTCGGTCCACAGCAGCGAGTACGGATGCTTCTGATTGATGTGCCTCTTGATGGTGCTTAACTTCAGGGTGGCCAGTGAACTGCCACACACCATGCAGATCATCCCTTGTCTCTGTGGGTCGAAGTCCATGAGGTATTCGCTGCGCCAGTACTCATGGTAATAGCGCCGGTGGTCTCGGCCAGGTGTGTGCTTTGATGGAGGAGGGTCTTTTGTAGATGGTCCTGGGATTGGAGACAGAAGGAAAGGAGAGTCTGCGTTCTCAGAGACACACCAGTAACTGGTGCCTGGGGAGCATACAGAGGTGACGGGAACGTCCTGGCTGTTATGAGATGTGAGACCATTGGTCATGCCCTCTTGACCTGTGGAGGACACAAAAAGAGAGTGTCACTGATGAAGTATAATGTGAAATTATTACACTGTTTTCAATTACAGGGAAATATAAAATACCGGAGATATATATAAAATGATGGCGATGAATATTAAGTGAAAATGTATTTCTGTCAGCACTTTTTGTGCATAAATGTTTTTTTTGTTTTTTTTTAATCTATAGGTATATTCAGAACATACAATATGTTATTCTGGACAGTCCTGGATGTTAAATAGGACTGATGCTGATAGATTGAAGGTCATTCTAAAGGTAGAAACGTTATAGGAAAATGTGAAAATTGTGTATTTTGGAATTTGAAAATATGAACGTTATTCTGTATTTTGTGACATACAAATTATTTAAGATATATAACAAATATTAAAAATGCTGCCATGATTATGTTAAAGTGTTTTTGTCTACAAGCCCATTTGCGCATACATCTATAAAACATCTGTCAGCACATATTCAAATCACTATTATTGTAAATATTAAGCAGTAGTAGTGTATACATTTTTATATTGCTGATCTCAAAAGACAACAAAGCTAGTAATCTCATGAGACGATGCAAATGATTTTGTATTTCAGAAAAATGCTTAAAAATATTAACGACTGGTGAGTATTAAAGTAATTTTTTTGCATAAACCCTACATATAATCTGTCAGCATATATGTATACATTCATATATTGATTATTATTTAGCATTAGTCTGTTGCTGATAGGCTAAAAGTCATTGTCAAATATTGTAACTGAAATGAACGTCATCTGAAAAATATGCTAATTATTTTGTATTTCGCATATTTTATGATATACTAATTATTTATTCATAGTTAATATTCAATAATCAAACATGTTGCTATAACGAATTATAAAATGTATATTATAATCTGTCAGCATATATTCTAATTGTTGTTTTTACTACTATTGGTAGCAGTCTCAAATTTTTTTAAATATTCAAATAACTTTTCTTTTAAGAAAAATAGCTACGCAAATAATTTAGCACGATTTAAACGGATATCAAAGTGAAAATGTGGTATTTCCGCTCACAACAAGGGGGCGGCGGCATGGTGCAGTACTACATATATCCGCTAGGTGGTGACGGCGCATCGCGTATACATATGCAGCATGGTTATTTTGCCTTTGTTTATAGTGGAGCCCGAAAGATTAGGGGCCATGCCGCTGCATGCTATTGTTCGTCACGGGTTTTAACATTTCCAAGAGAGAGCCATCGATCTAAATTTAAAAATATTAACGACTGGTGAGTATTAAACAAGTATTAAAGTAATTTTTTTGCATAAACCCTACATATAATCTGTCAGCATATATGTATACATTCATATATTGATTATTATTTAGCATTAGTCTGTTGCTGATAGGCTAAAAGTCATTGTCAAATATTGTAACTGAAATGAACGTCATCTGAAAAATATGCTAATTATTTTGTATTTCGCATATTTTATGATATACTAATTATTTATTCATAGTTAATATTCAATAATCAAACATGTTGCTATAACGAATTATAAAATGTATATTATAATCTGTCAGCATATATTCTAATTGTTGTTTTTACTACTATTGGTAGCAGTCTCAAATTTTTTTAAATATTCAAATAACTTTTCTTTTAAGAAAAATAGCTACGCAAATAATTTAGCACGATTTAAACGGATATCAAAGTGAAAATGTGGTATTTCCGCACACAACAAGGGGGCGGCGGCATGGTGCAGTACTACATATATCCGCTAGGTGGTGACGGCGCATCGCGTATACATATGCAGCATGGTTATTTTGCCTTTGTTTATAGTGGAGCCCGAAAGATTAGGGGCCATGCCGCTGCATGCTATTGTTCGTCACGGGTTTTAACATTTCCAAGAGAGAGCCATCGATCTAATGGTCAAAGTTAAATGCCTAACACCACATTTACCTGCTGAGAGGTCCCCCAAGTGTCCCCGCTGCGGTGTCGCCGCCTCTTCCTCAGCTTTTATTATTAATGAGCGAGATTCTGTCTTCTCAGCTTTGTGCACCGACTCTTTGGACTCCGCTTCATCCATACCTGTGTTATGTGATTTTAACGTACAGGATTCGCACCTTTAGTACGTGGAAATGTCACAACCGGAGGATTTCGTAGATGCATTCGTCGGGTGGTTGACTAAATATCTGAAACGCGCACTCGCCCATCACAGTGTGTGCAGTGTCTGTCTCTGCACTGGAGCCTCACCGCTGTTTGCTTTAAGTAAACTTAACTTTACGAGACCATACAAGTCGCATTTAGATCGAAGTTGGAGTGCAGATCTGTCAAATGGTCGGTGACTTTAAGCGGTCTCCTGTTTGTATTTAGATGTTCTGCTTGTCTTCAGGGTGGAGAGCCGAGCTAGGGGCCCCTGGGGCTCCTTTAGGGGCTCCTGGGTAAATTTAAAGAGACAGTAGCGGCTGTGATGTATATAGTGACGGGTGCACCATGGGGCCCATTTTGAAGATTTTATTTCATATTTTACATAAGATTGTAACCAAAGTTATGCATTTTGTACATGCCATTTAATTCATGTAGGATTAAATATATTTTGTTTTCTAGTTTTGATTGGTACATTTATTTACAGACCGTTTTTGGAAAATACAGTTATTCTACATGAAATGACAGTTTAATTAAATTGTATTATTCATATCATTGATCTTTTTATGTGTTTCTTACACTTGTGCATGTATCCTTGTGTATTTTATTGTAAAATTGAAATGGAAAAAATTAAATTGTGTTCAGTATTCGAAAAATATGCATTTGTTACATTGTTACAATACAGCTTTGCATCTGTATTTTAAAAAAAATTATTTAACACGTTTTATATATATATATATATATATATAATATATAAGATACGTAATGCCTACATAATGCCAAAGTATAATTTTATACTATTATATTATTTTATATTTTTAGGATTGTTAAAGCCATTGTTTACATAGTTTTCATGAGGGACACATAGGGCATGTTTTTGTGTGTAATTGGTGTTCCGGTTATTTTCTAATACTTAAATATTAAATATAAAACTAAAAAATTAGAAAACTAAAAAATACCACTAAGTTATCTGCAACTAATTCATAATGGCCGGTTTTTATTTTATTTTTTTATGCAGAACGTAATTGTGTTTTATGGAGGGAGGGACTGCTTTAAGACAAGTGGTAGGGGTCATATGATGCGATTTCAATTTTTTCTTTCTCTTTGGAGTGTTACAAGCTGATTGTGCATAGATAAGATCCCTGAAGTTACAAAGACTAAAGTCTCAAAACCAAAGAGATATTCTTTATCAAAGTTAAGACTCTGCCACGCCCCCCTAAAACGGCTCGTTCTTACACGCCCCCACATATCTACCTCACTATGTGGAAATATTTGCATAATGTGCCCAAATGTGCACGCAAATAAAGATGTACAAGAATAAATATGAATAATGAAACACAAGAATAAATATGTGTGTTTCTAGGCGAAAGCAAAAGCACTTTATTTGGCCTTCCGAAAGTAGATGCATTTAGGAATCTTTAAGATGACTTACTAAGTTCCTACATCCTGGTATTTTTTACCTTTGTCAAGGCATCGATAGAAAGAAAGGCTGCAACGGGAAGCGACCCGACTGCAGTGTCCTGAGACTGAGCTCAAGGAAAGTTAGGTGCATTTACCAGGTAAAACAAACGCATGCTTCGCACACACGGTGTTGTCGTGACGCTTTTTACTTTAAAGACACGACAGTCCACGAGCTGACAGACAGACACACAGACCGCAGCTCAGGAGGGCAGATAGGGAAGACAACATTGTCTCTGTCGTAGAGACAGCGATAGCTTGTTCAGTAAAACCACTCCAGTGTTTGCTAGGATGCTTTTTAAATATACATTTTATATAAATAAACAAGCGCTGCCATTACAGTGTCAAAACAAAACGCCAGAGTTAGCCGGAGAAATCATCAGCTTGTGATTGTGAGATAAGATTTAAAGTGACAGCAACGTGTTTGTCCCATCTTTGGGCTCTGTTTGAGTTTAAGTTATCCTTTACTACACATTTTATTCATATAAGCATATTTGTATGCTTTCCATTTAAAAAAAGCCCCTTTCTTTAGCAATGCATAGCAGTTGTAATGTTACTGAATGCGTAGTTGAATAAAAATTTAAATCGGGAATTGTTTACTTAAGATCATGTTGATTTAAACCTGTATGATTTTCTTTCTTATGTGGAATGCACAAAGTACATATTTTGTAGAATGTGCACTCTTTGATACAGTTAACGTAGACGCAGAGACTATATCAAGCTCCAAAAATGCGCCAAAACATTAGTCCAGAAAAATCTGGGAACTCGATGCGTGACGCTCTGGTACTGATATTTACATTTATTCATATTCATATTTGCATATGTTTTTATACAGAGCGACTTGCAAATGAGCAATTCTACAGTATGATTAATCGTAGGGAGACGGTGACACAAAAATGCTGCAATACAAAATCCCAAAGTTTGGCTTGAAAAGCATCAGGCTATTAGTACTAAGATGGAGATAAGATTGGAAATAACTTGGTAATGGTTGCGGACCAAGTGTGAGTTGTCTTCAAACATTTCTTGAAGATTGAAGAACAATTTGTGACAAAAAAATGATTGAAAAATGATTGTTCCTACTTGCTCTGTAGCATAGATCTAAATTGAATTGATTTAATGTCAATGCTTGCATGGCAGTGCTTGATGTTCCTATAAATTCAAATCAGCGTTGCAGACACAGCATGTGGGGCACATTCCCCCGGGGCCCCAGACGTCCCCTTCCCCCACATGGATAGAGGGCATCATTCTCTTATTTCTTGTATTTACGTGTACTACTTAAGGGTGCACTTGTCATTGTGTACTGCATATGTTACTCCTATGATAAATTGCATGCACTGTTCCTTATTCGTAGGTCACTTTGGATAAAAGGGTCTGCGAAATGACATGTGCATGTACCGAAACCCAATATGTATTTGAGGGCCCCTTTTCTGAGTCCCAGCCATGCCTTTGGAAGACTACAGGGGCCCCTGGACGTCGTCTATTGTTGCTTTATGATCACATATGAATCACAATTGAGGATTTTGTCACAACACCCAACAAAGTGCTCTCTAGGGCCCCGTCCTCCAGCATAGGGGCCCTTTTATGTCCATTATTTTTAACCCTTAATCTGCTAGTTTGAATTATTTTTTTCCTATTTTAGATATATTTTATGTTGATGATTTTATTTTATTGTCATTTTATTGTTGTTGAAGTGTAGCCTCAAGCTTATAGTCATTTGGTTTGTGTTAAAGAACATGAGTTAACACTCTCTCTCATCATTCATCAGATCAATTATTTATTATGCATTTTGTTTCCCCTAAAGGTCAACTACTCTTGGTTTTTCAGAAAAATGGACAGTTTGAATCAAGCACTGCATGCAAAATCCATCTAAACAGAAAGACCTTGAGAGATTGCTTCACATAAATTAAAGATGTGACCCCACAGATAACCCTGTTTAGATCAGGTTTTGCCAAGCCTAAGAAGACTTACTCCAGCAGCTGACATTAGTATAATGATGGTGTAACCAAACAGCAGCCATGTCCAGCAAGACTTCCTCTAAACGTCGTTATCAACCAGCAGCAGAGTTTGATGATGCCACTATCGCCCGCAAAAGGGAATATTGGAGGAGTAAGAAAAGAGAGCAGAGGGCAAGAAAGTCATCTACCAAAAAGAAGATTGGAAATGAAAATCTGGGGTTGCGCATGTCTGTTGTTAGTGAAGCCAGCAATGATCCCTCTCTACATAATCATAATGTTTCATTCAAACGGGAAGATGCTGATGCTCCTAAAAACTCCTTCAGCTCAGGTCTATCAGTATCTGAGACTAATATTACTATGGTGCCATGCCAAAATGCGAGATGGTTTCAAAGGACCAAGCTCAACCATGCCTTACCTCAGTACCCAGAAACAAGCACAGATTCCCTGAAGGGTGTAATGGGTAATAAAAAAATAAAGCCCTCAGATACAGGGTCATCAAAAACAAATGCTTCAACGGTTGAATATCTCTGCCCTACAGTCCATTCGGTGCCTACAACATGCATCGAGTTGCATCCAAACAGTACTCATGCTCAAAAAACAAAATCAGGAATGTCATCCCTAAATGGCAAGCACATAACAACATCTTTGCAAAGCCATGTATCCATGGTTTTACCAGTGCACAGAAACCAAAATAAGCCTCAGAACTCACTTGGACCCTTGACCTCTGCAGAATGTAAGGTTCATGAAAACCAGAATCCTATCACTAAGAGAAGAACATGTGCCTTTGCTTCAGAGCACAACACAGGAGTGGCTATGACTGAAGAAGAGATGGTTGCTAAGCGTAGAGAGAAATGGCGTATCAAAAAGCGGGAACAGAGAGCAAAGCGTGCTGCAATGCTGGCCCGGGACCGAGAAGGGAGTCTCGGACAAGGACAACCTTTATCTGTTGGTATCATGCATGCTTCGTCTCCTACTTACAGTAAGGCCTTGAGAGGAATCAGTCTCAACTCAAATCTTGTATCCCTCAATCAACAGTCGCTGGGAGCAAAATTTAACGGTTCTCGAACAACACAACTACATGTTCAGAGTACTAAACCAAACCATGCATCCTTAACCTCTGGTATTTTGCAGTCATCCTCAAGTAAATCCAAAGTACAGAAATGTGCACATACTCAAAAGAGACGTTGTCAAAACCAAATGAGGAAATCCACCCTTGGTGCTTCCAAAGTTGAGTCTCCCGAGGATCGCCATGCCAGGCAGAAAGAATACTGGAGAATTAAGAAACGTGAGCAGAGAGCAAGGCTGTCTATGGCATTAAAAGCACGACTGAAGGAACGTGACGCACTAAAGCATCATGGGAGACACTCCTACAGCAGTTTCAACCAGGCGTGCGGAGTTGAAGCGAGCAAAACAAGTGCATTTGAAGTTTCCTCAGATACCATTGGTGGTTTTATCAAAGAAGATGGCACGGTGACAGTCACCATTTCTAAGACATCTCCCGAGGCTTCCCTACCTGCAAGTCAAGACATTTCCAATGTGAAATGCATTGGAAATGTAAAACTCCAGGTTCAAGTAAATTCTCCCCTATATTCAGATGCTCCACCAGTCACAAAGCTAGCTTCCGCTCCATTCAACATTTCTAGTAACTGTACTAATGCTCAACAAAACTCTTTAGTAAAGTCTAGGTTAACCAGAGGTGCAGTTATGGGCAGTATGACAGTCACCATCCAGTCTGAAACCCCAACAGAAGAAGGAAGGGTCGCCCGTTTGAGGGAGTATTGGAGGATAAAGAAACGAGAGCAAAGGGCTAGTCGAGCTGCCCGACTTGGGAATGGTCTGCTTAGGTCGAAGGTTTCTGTGTTAAAGCAGAGAGAGCAAAACAAGAAGACAAACCATAGGCAGAGTATTACTTCATCTATCACCACAACAGTTTGTCACTCCTCTACCAGTGCCCCAATACCTATAAAAGAAGAGCATGTCTATCCCACTATACAAGCTGTGTTTTCCATCCCAGAAATTACTCCCTGCATCAGTGTTAATAGTTGCAAAGAATCCTTAGAATCACACATTGAGCCTCCAACAGCTGTGGACCATCATGCCACCACTCTTCAGGCTGTTGCCTCCATGAAAAAGCTCCTGGAGGAATCAGTTTACACACCAGAAGAAAATAATGCCAACGAAATGCATGTTAAGTGTGAAAATGAGCCTCTTCCGTTGACTAAAGATGACCTTTTTAAATCTGAAGATGCAAAGCCAAGTCTTACCTTACAACAAAACGTCTTGTTACAGTGTGACCTCTCAAAAGACACAAGCCTTAAAGATATCGAATTGAGTCCTCAGGCATCAACTTTTGAAAACACCAGTCGTTATAAGACTCATAACGTCTGTCAAGAGGCTACAGATGGAAGTCATGCCATTTCTCCAGTGGCTCTGCAACCTCAGAAGTTCAGTGATGGTGGAGCAGATCCCAAGCAGGCCTGCCCTTCACAGGCCTTGCAAAAGCAGCAGCTTGGTGAAAGTGATGAGCTTCAACGAAAGAGAGAGTATTGGCGGTTAAAGAAGAGACAACAGCGGGCTAGAAAAGCCAACAAAGATGCAACCAAACATGCAGTTCTTCGTAATCTGCCACAGGTGAGTTGCATTGATATTTGAATGTCATGGGAAGTAATTGATAATAATGTGAATTATTAAATGTGTCGCCATATGAACTATTGTGTTTCTCGGATTCCCCAGAAGAAAACACGAAGCACAACTCTCATGCAAGCCATGTCCCAGGACACTTCCACATGCAGACAGATCCCCATTCAGAAAAAAACAAGCAGGTGCACCAAGCCTTCTGGTCCACAAACACAACCTACAGATAAATCAAGATGTGATAGAAGCCAAATAGTGGCAACGCCAAATCCACAAGAAGATCCAGAGGAGGTTATACGTAGAAGACGCATGCAGTGGAGGATCAAGAAACAGGAGCAGAGAGCTAGAAAGGCAGCACGTGAGAGAAAGCTACACCAGATGATGGTCCCTCCACAAGGCCAGGATTTACAGGTAATTATTTTTTAGAGCGTATATATTTATTGGTTTTATTTATGTGCAGTACCATTAAGAAGTTTGGGGTCAGTAAGACTTTGTTTTTTTTTGGACAGCAAAGATATTTATAATGTTACAAAAGATTTCTGTTTCACATAAATGCTGTTCTTTTGAACTTTTAAAAGAATTCTGAAAAAAAATTATGTAGCACAACAATTTTTTTAACATTGATAGTAAATGTATCTTGTGTAGCAAATCAGCATATTAGAATGATTTCTGAAGGATCATGTTAAATTCAATTCAAGTTTATTTGTATAGCGCTTTTCACGATACAAATCGTTGCAAAGCAGCTTTACAGAAAATTAAGTTTCTACAGTATACTCATGTGACAGTAAAGACTGGAGAAATGACTGCTGAAAATTCAGCTTTGCCATCACAGGAATAAATTACATTTTCAAATATATTAAAATAGAAAACTGTTATTTTATATTGTGATAATACTTTAGAATATTACTGTTTTTACTGTATTTTTAATCAAATGAATGCAGCCTTGGTGTGCGTAAGAGACTTACCAACCCCAAATTTTTGAAAAGTAATGTAACTACAGACAGAGAAAAGGCCCCAAATAAAAGCACAATCATTTCAAAACACTGTGAGCAGTAACACCCCCCTCATTTACAGATTGTTCTAAAACAGACCACAGTGCAGCACCACTGTGAGTTTGAGTGGGACTGCGATACCCACACAGTGCAACCCACTGATCATGCAGTTGTTTACTCGTGTGACAGATCTGTTTAACCAGTTTGTGATTTGCACAGTGCTGTGCAAACTGATCTGATCTTCACTATCAGTGGCTCATTCATCTAAACGGATCATCATTTACCAATCCCTATGTTGTTTCACACCTGTATGACTTTGTTTCTTCTACGGAACACAAAAAAAGAGAGATTTTGCAGGATGTTTCAACTGTTTTTGCTCATACAAAGTCAATAGGGTCCAAAACACTGACCACTGACTTTCATTATATGGGGGAAAAATTTTTTCAAACTAGCTTATGTGTTCCACAGAAGAAAGAAAGTCATACAGGTTTGGAATTACATGAAGTCGAGTTTATACTGAGAACCAAACATCACAGTATACCAAAACGCTGTAATAATAACACTACATGCTTTATGTCCCCTGGGGGCCCCAGCTTTATCTCGGCACCAGAAATTCACAGACAAATGGGGGTAGGTTCTTTTCAATTGGAGCAGTGTTCACAGGGCCCCATGTGGGGCCCCAGCCATACCTCAGCACTAGAATATCACAGAAACATTTTGGAGGCCTCTTTTGACTTGTGGCAGTGTACAGAAGCCCTGTGTAGGCCCCCCGTGCCTCCAGGCATATCTGTGTGTCAGCATACTGTAGGGACATGCAAAACATAGGGAAAAAAAATTAGGACAACGTGATGGTGGAGAGTTTTGTAATTGATTAGGTGTCAAATAATGAAAGATGTTTTTCTTCAAAATACATTTCTGAAACAAGCATGTAAAAGATTTGAACATTTTATTTTAGCATATAAGATCAGCAGCCTTCTCACGGCTTGCTGCTTTTAGATTACTTATACTTTAGATGAAGATGGTGAGATGCCAGTTTTTATACCAATTAACTGAATATTTTCATTGTTCCTTTCTCCAGTTTCTCAAATGATTGAACCCCCTCAGAATGGATTTAAGGGTTAAACTGTGTAATTATTTTAGGTTAAAAATGCCATGGCAGAAACATCTGAATTTGGTTTGTCCAATTAAGTAGCACTTTCTCAGATTGTTTGAGAATTGTTGTCATCTACCCAGCCTCAAGTCACTCAGAGCATTCACATATACGTGAACTTATAATCTTTTTTTGGGGGGGGGGGGTTCATCCTTTGGTCAAATGAGCTACAGCTCTAGTGATTAGTTGTTGCCAGTTGCTACATAGTTAATGTACACTATCCTTACTTTTTTTCTTTAATCTTCCCAGAGTCAGAACTCTCCCAGTCTCTGCTCAGCAGTAGTTCAGAGGTAAGTGAAATTTGTAATAATATTTTAGAATTTCTGTATTTATTTGATACTGTAAAAACTGTAATATTGTCAAATATGATTACAGTTTAAAATAACTATTTTGTATTTTAATATTTTTTTTTATGTAATTTATTCCTGTGATAGCAAAGCTGAATTTTCAGTAGCCATTCTTCACTGTCACACGACCCTACAGAAATCATATTAATATGCTGAAAAGACATTAATGTTGGCTTCTTTTCCAGTGTAACTTTAGAAGACCAACTTGGCTACTTTGCTGAACCATGTCAACCTGCACTCAAAGGTTATTTTTAATGAATTTTCTAACACACTTTACCAAACATTTTAAGTGACTATTTGTTTACTGGTATTACCAACATCTTCTGTTTGAAGAGGAGTCAAGCTTTGCACCAAATGATGCAATGGAGGGACCTTTATCACAGGAAGAGTGGAGAAATGTCTACCTCATGGACTTTGATCCTGTCAACCCTTTGTTGGTGTGTATGGTTTGTGGAGAGCAGCAGTACTCTGTGAGTGTGGAAGGCGTCAAGGCTCACATTGAGGAGGCGCATCCTGATACACTATCATTGGGAGACCTTGAACATCAAGGCTTTCTCGAAGCCTGGGATAAACAGGTGGCAGTCCGAGAGCACTTCATCACCCACCAGCTTCAACAGCGATGCAGAGCTTCTACAGGTAACAGGGAAATCTGCATTCAGCCTGGCTTTGAAAATACAAAATAATTTATTTTATAAATCATTTTTCAGAACGGAATTTAACCTGCCCGGTCAAAATTGAAGCTAAGGTCGTGGCCAACGACTTTGAGTGAACTGATGGGTGACTGACAGACATGACCATGTCTTGTTCTGATGGCCATCTAGTTGATGAGGTCTTCGCAGGGGATCTGTCTCTGTGGCTCATCTAGTTGACGTGGTCTCCGCTGACGTTCACTAAAACCTAACTTCATGCCTTAATGATTTAAGATTCCGTTTTCTTACATTTTCTTTGTAAGTTCCATCAGTCACGTAAGAGATCAATATCAAAATGTTGATTCACCCTTTTTTCATTACTGAGCCTCATTAACTGTATGTTTACATTCTGGTAATACTCCAAACAGTGCATTTACAGAACCTGTAAATCAGGTTACAAAATAAGATCCATCTATAAAAACGTTAACACACAAACAACTGGCATGTTATTCTGTAATCTAAAGAACTGCATTTTGATTTTGTATTTCCAGTATTTATTTCTGTACAGTTTATGCACTTCATAATGTATATATTATTTCAATTATTTATAAAATATCATTTTTATTTTGTACTTTGACTTATTTTGACTCGCCATGTTTTTTTTGTTTGTTTCCACTTAAGAATTTGTCTTGAATAGACCTTCTTCTTCAGTTTATAAAATACTATAGAATCAAATGTAATTCATATCTACCATAATTTGAACTTCCTTGTAGTTAATTACTAGTTAACCTTCTAAATGATCTGAGAGTGTGGTGTTAATGTTTGGTTATACACAGACCACATGCTTGAAGAAAAAAAAGCACAAGGATGTGAATCATCACATATTATATATAGTTTAGCAAACATTTACACCTAGGATAAGTAAAACGTTTAATTATGATTCCCTCTTCAGTCCACTTCTGTTTTAGATCAAATCTTTTAAATAAATAAAACCTTTTGCACACTTTGTTTGCTTGTCTGTAACTTAAAATGTTAATTCACTTATACGATTTAGCATTATATGCTCCTTTTTATGACAAAGATTGATTGCATAGAGATTTGGCTATAATATAGGTCTACTTTTGCTTAGAATGGTGAAACTAAAATTGTTCTGATCTACTTATCAACTTAAAACAATCATTATTATTATTATTAGAGTACAAAATGTCCACGAAATCAAAATATCGGAGAAATTTATGTTTTATTGCACTGCCAAATCAGTTTATGGCATATTTACACATCATAGAGCAACTCCGCATACTGTAGACAGATCTCAACTCAAAAATAGTGTGTTATAGACCAGACATAAATCATTATCTGGTAACTAAATTAAATATAAGGTTCATCATATTAGCTTGATAATCGTCTTCATAAAATGCACATCCATTGGCATGGCTCTCACAGTTTCACTCTTTGTGAGAGTAGTGGCTCCTCCTCGATAATTTGTTCTGTTTCAACCTCCTGCTCAGGGGTTTGCTGAGCACCCGACGAGGTTTGCAGTTCTCTGGGTCCAGAATCCAGACGGAACACTGTAGGGATCTGGCCTAATATGGGACAGGTCTCCTGTAGACCAGAAATCCACTGAGACAGAGTAGCCTGGTCTCCCTGACCAGCCATACACATGGCGTAAACCGGCCCCTCTTCCACTGCAGGATCAAATGAACAGACATCATTGCATGTGTCTGGTGATATGCAAACCATTTTATTCAAACCATGTTGACAAAGCAATACGAGTCTCACCATCATCCACACTGAAACTGAAATCATCACCCATGTCTCTTTCCAGGTCCAGCTCCACTCGCTGAGGGTAGAAGAGACTCTGCTCTGGACCAATCATCTCAAGGTCAAACTCTTCCTCAACCTATAGGAAAAGAAGATTCCAATACATAATCTGGAATGCAGATTCTTTAAGAATGAAGTCTTCATTTATTTATTAGTTATTGTTGTATTCTTGAAAGTATTACACTACTAAGTTTGGAATAATTAAGGTTTATTTGATCAAAAATATAGTAAAACAGTAACATTGTGAATAACTGTTATTTATTGTAGTTGAATTTTCAGCAGCCATTACTCTAGTTTTCAATGTCACATGATCCTTCAGAAATCATTCTGATATGTTGACTTTCATGAAATGCCATCATTAGCCCAGTTACTGTACCTTTTCCTCAGGCGGTATAGGGTCTGCCCTGAGTAGGTAATAATGAACACAAGTCTTTCTGAGCCACAGTGGAAACGGGCCTTCGACAAACACAGGCCTGCAGGAATTGTGTTTGGCCAGAAGGGATCGCTGATCTGGACTTTGAATACCTGATAACATAAAAGATAGTTTTGTTTTGCTTAATTCATTTCACAAACAGTATCCAAAATCCCTTTTTATGCCAAGAAGCATTTAAAAAAAAAAAAAAAAAAGTGATGTCCAATCAAATTATAGTTAAATATTTCAGGTTAAATACTGCACAAGTTGGATAGTATTTGTAAAGAACTCCAAACAAGCATTTTGTGTTTACAAACTGAGTTCTTATTATTTTCTGTGGTACAGATGATAAACAGTTAACCCAGAATATTCCTGAAGTTCAATTGTCAGTAATGGTAAAAGCTACATACCTACAATATGGGGACGCATAACTTCTTCACCAGGCTCTGTGATGTCTGTTGACGGATACTGCAATGTGTGAAATAAAGCACATTTCTCAGACTGGAAAGCCTTTATTTCCAGATACAGTAAATACACACTACTATTGAAAAGTCTGGTGTTAGTAAGATATACAGTGGGTACGGAAAGTATTCAGACCCCCTTAAATTTTTCACTCTTTGTTATATTGCAGCCATTTGCTAAAATCATTTAAGTTAATTTTTTTTCCTCATTAATGTACACACAGCACCCCATATTGACAGAAAAACACAGAATTGTTGACATTTATGCAGATTTATTAAAAAAGAAAAACTGAAATAACACATGGTCCTAAGTATTCAGACCCTTTGCTCAGTATTTAGTAGAAACACCCTTTTGATCTAATACAGCCAGGAGTCTTTTTGGGAAAGATGCAACAAGTTCTTCACACCTGGATTTGGGGATCCTCTGCCATTCCCCCTTGCAGATCCTCTCCAGTTCTGTCAGGTTGGATGGTAAACGTTGGTGGACAGCCATTTTTAGGTCTCTCCAGAGATGCTCAATTGGGTTTAAGTCAGGGCCCTGGCTGGGCCATTCAAGAACAGTCACAGAGTTGTTGCGAAGCCACTCCTTCGTTATTTTAGCGGTGTGCTTAGGGTCATTGTCTTGTTGGAAGATAAACCTTCGGCCCAGTCTGAGGTCCTGAGCACTCTGGAGAAGGTTTTCATCCAGGATATCCCTGTACTTGGCCGCATAGAAAACAGTTCTTGTATATTGTAATAATATTTCAAAATTGGAGTGTTTTACAGTATTTTTAATCAAATAAATGCAGCCTTGGGCCTGAGCATAAAATACTTACTAACCCCAAACCTTTGAACGGTAGTGGTTCTGCTTGTGTGATGCTGCTTTAAGTTGTAGATTTAATAGTCACCTGATAGATTGATATTTTGGCATCCAGGTCATCTGCAATCCGGGTAAGACTGAATCGAGCGAGCTCTACTGGGTCACTGGGGAGCACATGTGGGACGGGGAAGGGGTTTGCGTGCTTGAATTTGGGAAACCAGTACATGATACGCTGGTACTTCCTCATAGGATGACTCTTTTCCCCAAATATCTGAGCCAGCAATACCTTGGTCTCTACATTCGGCATGAGACCTGGAAATATTAGGAAGACAAAGAATTGGCAAATCATTAAAGCAATGCATCAGTTTTTCTTTCTCTCCTACAAGAGCGCAAACACACACCATAGATCTCCATCTGCTCCAGCAGCTGTACTCCACACTCTTGCTGCCGTGGGTAGTGGTTAAACATCCTCTGAATGAAGTTCCGTGGAACAAGCACCTCTTTTGGAAACACATCCAGGAGTTTGTTGTAAACAGTAATGTCTCGTTCTACTCCAAATTCTGGCATCTTCTTCAGAGCAGCATAAATAAACTCCACATGGCCTCTTCGTCGAATGTCCTTCTTGCTGAAAACATCCACGACCCTGTTAAAATCCGCCTTGGTCTTTGAGTCTCTAGCAGCTCGCTCAAATAAATCATCATGTGTGACTAAACTTTTGTCTTTATTAAGCGTCTCATCTTCAACTGTCTTTTCAAGCTGTGTCTGGCTTGGACGACTCGTGGAGCATACCGCACTGCAGTGGAATGGCCTCAGAAGCTTAAGAAAATCGGACAGAAAAACACAGGGCATTAATACAGGCACACAGTCTATAAAGCAGCATTATTCAGAGGTAAGCAGGTACCTGGCCATAGTTGTGCTGTGATCCAGGGGTTTGCAGATGTGCTCCAGCAGGTAGGATCACTCGCTGTACAGGTTTCCCCAAAAAACGTGCAACGTACCCAATACACTGGATCCGCAACAGATGACGAGGGGCATTCATGATTATGACATCCCAAACCACAGCGGAAGGATTACAAATGTGCTGAAATGAGCCTAGAAAGGAAAGGGAAAAATATCAGTGTCAATATAATTTTTATGTAATAATGTATGCAATTGTTTGTACATAATTTATGCAATGTATATCTATCTATTTATCTATCTGTAATAAAATAATGGAATAATCACATTATTGTTAGATCTATCTATATATCCATGTTGGAGTAGTGATATAATGCTTAATAATCACATTATTGTTAGATCTATCTATATATCCATGTTGGAGTAGTGATATAATGCTTAATAATCACATTATTGTTAGATCTATCTATCTATTAAGTAATTAGCAATTAAATTAAATAATGCAATAATTACATTATTGTTAGATTTATCTATATATCCATGTTAGAGTAGTGATATAATGCTTAATAATCACATTATTGTTAGATTTATCTATATATCCATGTTGGAGTAATTATATGTGTGTGTGTGTTCATAATGAGTAATTATTAGTGCTATAACGCTTAATTAACATTGTTACATCCATCCATCCATCTAAGTAATTAGCAATTAAATAATGCAATAATCACATTATTGTTACATCTATCTTTCTGTCTATCTATCTGCTTGTCTATCTATCTATCTGCTTGTCTGTCTATCTATCTATCTATCTATCTATCTATCTATCTATCTATCTATCTATCTATCTATCTATCTATCTATCTATCTATCTATCTATCTATCTATCTATCTATCTATCTATCTATCTATCTATCTATCTATCTATCTATCTATCTATCTATCTATCTATCTATCTATCTATCTATCTATCTATCTATCTATCTATCTATCTATCTATCTATCTATCTATCTATCTATCTATCTATCTATCTATCTATCTATCTATCTATCTATCTATCTATCTATCTATCTATCTATCTATCTATCTATCTATCTATCTATCTATCTATCTATCTATCTATCTATCTATCTATCTATCTATCTATCTATCTATCTATCTATCTATCTATCTATCTATCTATCTATCTATCTATCTATCTATCTATCTATCTATCTATCTATCTATCTATCTATCTATCTATCTATCTATCTATCTATCTATCTATCTATCTATCTATCTATCTATCTATCTATCTATCTATCTATCTATCTATCTATCTATCTATCTATCTATCTATCTATCTATCTATCTATCTATCTATCTATCTATCTATCTATCTATCTATCTATCTATCTATCTATCTATCTATCTATCTATCTATCTATCTATCTATCTATCTATCTATCTATCTATCTATCTATCTATCTATCTATCTATCTATCTATCTATCTATCTATCTATCTATCTATCTATCTATCTATCTATCTATCTATCTATCTATCTATCTATCTATCTATCTATCTATCTATCTATCTATCTATCTATCTATCTATCTATCTATCTATCTATCTATCTATCTATCTATCTATCTATCTATCTATCTATCTATCTATCTATCTATCTATCTATCTATCTATCTATCTATCTATCTATCTATCTATCTATCTATCTATCTATCTATCTATCTATCTATCTATCTATCTATCTATCTATCTATCTATCTATCTATCTATCTATCTATCTATCTGCTTGTCTATCTATCTATCTGTCTGTCTATCTATCTGCTTGTCTGTCTGTCTATATCTATCTGTCTGTCTATGTCTGTCTATCTGCTTGTCTATCTGTCTGTCTATCTGCTTGTCTATCTGCTTGTCTATCTATCTATCTATCTGTTTGTCTATCTATCTTGTCTATCTATCTATCTGCTTGTCTATCTGTCTATCTGCTTGTGTATCTGTCTGTCTATCTATCTATCTATCTGCTTGTCTATCTGTCTGTCTATCTATCTATCTGTATGTCTATGTGTCTGTCTATCTGTCTGCTTGTCTATCTGTCTGTCTATCTATCTGCTTGTCTATCTGTCTATCTGCTTGTCTATCTATCTGTCTGTCTATCTATCTGTCTATATCTGTCTGTCTGTTTGTCTATCTATCTATCTATATTTCTATCTGCTTGTCTATCTATCTATCTGTCTGTCTATCTATCTATCTGTCTGCTTGTCTATCTATCTATCTGTCTGTCTATCTATCTGTCTATATCTGTCTATCTATCTGCTTGTCTATCTATCTGTCTATATCTGTCTGTCTGTCTATCTATCTATCTATATTTCTATCTGCTTGTCTATCTATCTGTCTGTCTATCTATCTATCTGTCTGCTTGTCTATCTATCTATCTGTCTGCTTGTCTATCTATCTACCTGTCTGTCTGTCTGTCTGTCTATCTATCTATCTATCTATCTGTCTGTCTATCTATCTATCTATCTGTCTGCTTGTCTATCTATCTATCTGTCTGTCTGTCTGTCTGTCTGTCTGTCTGTCTATCTATCTGTCTGTCTATCTATCTATCTATCTATCTATCTATCTATCTATCTATCTATCTGTCTGTCTGTCTGTCTATCTGTCCGTCTTTGAGTAATTAGTCATTTATAATACAATATGAATCTTCAGAGTAATTATAATGTAATGATAATAACTTTGTGACATTTACTACCGCATTTTTCTGTAAATGTAATAATGCTATAAAATAAAATAATCAAATACTTAAGAGAAATGCGAAATAACACTTTGTCAAGCAATACTCACGATCACTCACTCCACTCAGATCTCATTCTGCTGTCAAGTCCTTCAAACACGCACCGGCTCGTTTCCTGGTGCATCGTCTTTCAACTTCCCCCAGACACGCTACGAAGAACGTTACGCTCGCGTTGGTTCCGGGCTGGGTGTATTATTCACAACATCAGCGCTAGATGGCAGAGAGGTATTGGATGAAAACTGCAGCTGTAGCTGTCAAACTTCTGTTTTTACTTTATCTTTAACCGGGGTTTGGGAGGAGGCATCTAGCGCGACGTATTTCAGTTTGGCTTCGTGCAGTTAGAAGGGAAAATCAGAGCTCGCACGCTCTCAATCAACTGTACATGGACGCGGTTCCTGGAGTAAATCTAGCCCGTGAGTTCTTGCCTCATGCGATAGAGAGGCTCTCTGCTCATTTCCTGGATTCGTGATTTTACAGTTACAACAGCTTCTGCAATCCCCAGTGGCACCTCCACAGCTCTCGGCAATGCTGTTGACAGCACATGTAGAGATATGCATTGCGTTTCTGCCAATGGCATATACTAATACAAAACAGTATTTGAGAGATCTGTAAGGTGTAAAGTGTTCGACTCAGACATGGATGGATCTACGAATAGTCTCGGTGAGTTGATAAATACGGTTGGTCTTGTCACTTACTACGTTTATGTCTATGAAATATAAATATAAACGATAAACTAGTGAAGTTTATTGTTGTAGAACCAACTAACTAGTTGTAGCAAAACGTTTTTTTTCTGAGGATGAATTTGTAATTGCGCCAGTGAAACCAGTCTATTATCTATGTGTAGTTTAGTTTACTGTCAAAAAGTTTTACAACTTATTTAACTAAGTATTTTGAAGTGTGCAACCTCGCCAGCATATGCTGGTTAGGTATGTTTTGACGCTGGGATGCTGGTTTATGCTGGTCCTTTGCTGGTTTTGCTGGTTTAAGATGGTCATTTGCTGGTTTAAGCTGGTCATTTGCTGGTTTAAGCTGGTCCTTTGCTGGTTTTGCTGGTTTAAGCTGGTCATTTGCTGGTTTAAGATGATCCTTTTCCTGCTTTTGCTGGTCCTTTGCTGGTTTTGCTGGTTTAAGCTGGTCCTTTGCTGGTTTTGCTGGTTTAAGATGGTCCTTTGCTGGTTTAAGCTGGTCATTTGCTGGTCCTTTTCCTGGTTTTGCTGGTCCTTTGCTGGTTTAAGCTGGCCCTTTGCTGGTTTAAGCTGGTCCTTTGCTGGTTTAAGATGGTCATTTGCTGGTTTATGCTGGTCCTTTGCTGGTTTAAGATGGTCCTTTGCTGGTTTAAGATGGTCCTTTGTTGGTTTAAGATGGCCCTTTGCTGGTTTAAGCTGGTCCTTTGCTGGTTTAAGCTGGTCCTTTGCTGGTTTAAGCTGGTCATTTGCTGGTTTATGCTGGTCCTTTGCCAGCACATGACCAGCATAAACCAGCAAAGGACCAGCATAAACCAGCAAATGACCAGCAAAGGACCAGCAAAACCAGCAAAGGACCAGCATAAACCAGCATCCCAGCGTACCTAACCTGGGTATATGCTGTTTTTTTCAACAGGGTCAGGATGTAACAGACCGTTACTGACACTATTAGACTTCCGTAGCAAAACAAATATTATAGTAACCAAGTTTCTTGCAACATATAGTTACTACAGTTATTGCTGCTGAATTAAAACTGGTAAGTTGATATTATTTTATGATGAGACAGCATTTTAAACAAGCCTAAACTGGTTTTAGCTGGTCTTCTAGCCTGGTCAGACAAACTGATTGTTAGCTGGGAAGTCTGGATAGCTGAAATAGGCACAAAATTTCTCTAAAACCAGACAGCAGGCCTGCTCAGGATGAGAGACCAATACACTATCTTAGGCTTAAGAGAGAGCACTGATATTAAAAATAAATCTAAATGAAAGCAAATAACTTCTCACCCATATTAATTGATTATGTTTTTAAAGTAACAGTCGAAACTGTGGTATTGTGTAAGAAATGTTTGTTAACCTGGTAAATATCTGGAAAAGCTGTTTGTAATTTAACGCTCAAAAGGTTGTTTGTTAGTCCTCAGGAGATATGCAGCCATTTGTGCACTATTGGATATCAAATTAATAAATCTGTTGTTCTATACATTTTGTTAGCATGTTTAAGTTTTATTGTCATGCAGACTTCGATGACATGCCCACAACAACAATTAATTGTTGCCGCAGTTCATTGCATCAAAAAAAAAAGAAAAATCCAAGCAATCCAAGTCTCAGTCCTCTGTTGGCCTTCATAGTTAACTCATACTGTCTCTTTCCCTACTTTGAATGTTCCTGACTCCCTATGGCAAGCCAATTTAACAGTTATTTGTTAACACCAACTAGTATCTTAAATAATAAGTAAATAAAAATAAATTAAAGAAAAAAATATTTATTGGTAACTAGTACCCTGATGTTTGCTAGTAGTATTTCATCCTCACTAGTTACAGCTGTGCTTTTTCTTTTCATATGTACCGACTAGTCAGGATGGCTACTTTATATACTTTATAGTTTAATTAAACACTTTACTCGTAAGATTAAACTGCTACAATTGGAATCCATATTCAATCGCTACTAAAAAAAAAACTGGACTACATTCTTAAAGCTGCAGTCCGTAACTTTTTTTGGTTAAAAATTATCCGAAATCAATATTTGAGCAAGTACATAACCAGCCAGTGTTCAAAACTATCGCCTTACTTTAGCCCGATTCACAACGGTTAGCTTATAATAATGTTTTCTAATTTGAGTGGTACGGGTAGGTTTCGAAGTTTCGAGGTAGAAATTCGAGCATGCCGCTGCGTCATTACGTCACGACTGTAAACATAAAGAAGTTGTCGCGGCTACTAGGCTATCAACTGCAGGTTTTCAAACAGAGATGACGATAAAGAGGCAAAACTTACGGACTGCAGCTTTAAAATAACTGTTAGTCAGGTTGAAAACAGTACAAGTAACCATTGGATTACTAGTATTTGAAGCATAAGTACACTAAAAAATGCTGGGTTGTTTCAACCCAACTTTGGGTCAAATATGGACTAACCCAACTGTTGGGTTAAATTTTTAAATTACATTTTTAACCCAAAAGTTGGTTTAGTCCATATTTGACCCAAAGTTGGGTTGAAACAACCCAGCATTTTTTAGAGTGCATTAGTTGCATAAAAATTTATACTTTTTAATGAGTAAATGTTTATACTGCTTGCCATAGTGTGTCTGGTGTCTAGACAGCTTTGTTGGTTGTAATGGGATTGTTGTAGTTTGTGACATTGCTTGCAGTGTAGGTTTTCAGTGTTGAATGGGTTTCTGTAGCAGTGACACCGCGTGTGCTTTTGTTTTGTTTACTGTTTGGTAACATGCCGGGCCAGTGGAGAGCAGTATATGTCATGCAGGAAGCCCTCTGGCATCATGCTTTTGCCACAGATGCCTACTTTCTGTGATGGGCTCTCTGTCTGTCTCAAGTGCCTCAAAGTCTGCATCATGTCAGAAGAGATGATTGCCAGAGATAGCAGATAATTGGATGTGCAATGATTGGCCAGTTGACATGGTCAAAGTGTTTGGTTTTCCTCATGTCGAAAAATGTGCTTTAAAAGTGGGTTACTGTGGAAGCGGTTTGTAAATGCATAGATTTTGAATCAGATTATTAAAGAATTAGCTTGGATTTACACAGAAATCAGTTTTGAAATCAGAAATGTTTTGCATAGGCTTTTAATTCATGAGACTTGTCAAAATGACATATAATTAAACTCCTACTAAAAAAAATGCTGTAGAAACAGTTTTCACTCAGAAATTGGCAGTAAATTTGACAAAGAAATGGCAAGGAACACGTTGAATTAAAGCTGAAACTTTGAAGTAGAAAAACTGTAATGGTGTTTTCTTGTAATGCACACTCCAATCGTTTTTGTTTCATTTGAAATTTCGAAAAATCATTTTTTTACAATGTAGGTTGTGTACAGAGTTTGACTTAAGTTTGGAAGATGTCAAACTCATGAGTTATTCTTTCTCGCTATGAATTTCTCAATACTCTTTCTTGTCTTTATGAATGTTTAGTGCTTAAGTTTCTGCCATGTTTTGAGAGGCATAACAATGTTTCTTTCATAACTCACTTGATTTCATAACAGTAACAGATCAGAATCGGTTTGGACGTAAAATTTCTTATGGAAAATTTGGATCGACTTGTCTAATTTCATTTCTGTTTATCAGTCAGATAAACATAACTGACAAATTTGTTTGGAGAAACACAAGAAAGCCTCTCGGCTAGTTCATATTTCTTTCTTCTACAAATAAACTTTGAAGGAGGTTGTATAAAGTTTTCTCTTGCTTTTTGTCTCATTGTGGGAGGTGAGAATTTGTGTTTGTGAGTAAGAATGAAGATGCAGGGGCGGACAGTGCCGTACAGGAAGTTCTGCCGTAGCCATGAGCGGTGCGACGCAACGCTGACAGGAAAGAGAGCAGCGAGAGGTGGGCGAACAGAAGTGGAGAAGTACCACACAGGGCTTATGATACTTTCATTTATTATATCATGGCTCAAAGTGAAAACAAACATTCTAATATTAGATTTTGATTAATATTAAAAATTGTGCAAGGCCAGATTTCTCCCAAGGTTAGTTGAAACTGTTTTGCATAATCAGTGATTGGCAGTGGATACCAGATGCTTCACAGACTTGGTTCAGTTAACTGTTTTGCATGGAGCATATGGTTTTGTAAACCACGGTTGAGATGCAGTCGCTCATCGGTGATTCGTTTATTTTTAGTGTTTTTTTTATTTATTTGAACATCTTTATTTTATTTGGGCTTGCAGATCCTGCATGCACTTTTGCTTGGCGATCATAATTACTCCAAGCTGTTTGACTTTGTTCTGCATTGTTTTTTTAAAGTGTGAATTATTTGTTTTTTGACAAGATCGGAGTTCAGTATCCCACAAAGCAATGCACTTGAGCTGGCCTGCCTTTGTGCCACAGTAAACCAGAATCTTTCTTGGCTTATTGTTGGGTATGACTGCCAACTATATGCAAAATTACACATTAATTGCACATTAAAAATCTACACAATGAGGTCATGTGACAATGTGACAAACA